CATACATTTGCATGTATTAGTGTGACTGTTAAAGTCACCAAGTCATATGTTTCTTCTGTCCATAAACTATATGATTTCCTTTTTATTTCTGGATTTTGCTCATTTGTGCATATCCTGCATATTGCTCTGTCACATTCATCATCAGGGGTGTCTTTCATGTTTGGGACAGTCAACATGTAGCAGAAGCAGACTTGTAGCATCTGAAAGGAGAGAGAGCATGTAATGGTGCACATTGTTGCCAGTGTGTAACCCATTTTTGATTTCTTTTTACATTTGGAGAGAGTTGAAAGTAATTCTGCACGTACTTATTTGTCTTACTTTTTTAATGTTTATTCTAAAATTTATAACCTTTTTTCTTACTTTTGAGACTCATTTTCATCTCACCCAGAAAGGGTGATAGTTTCTGGGATTCTCATGATGTCCTTACTTGTGTTTAGTGGGGATATGTTTTTATTCTTATGTTGCAGAATGTACCCATCATCAAGAATGTCTATACTTGCTGTCACCTACCACTTCAACCAGATTTCAAGTTTTCATTTCTTTTATTTTTTGACTGTCTTTAGGGTCAGTCTGGAGGATATAACCTTTTTTTGATTATGAACAGTGACAACAGGAGTGTGCATCACCTTAAATCTTGGGAAATCAGGTAAGCTGTGCCTTTTTTTTTTTCTTCATTGTCCATACCTTAAAAGTCTAGTTTTGGGTAGATGGAACTCAACAGTCCAGAAAGGCAGTCCATCTGCCGAAAACCCTGATTTAAAACCTCTGCTGCTTTGTGGTTGTATCTAAACATAGAAAGGGCTGTGAAAGTAAATCCAGACAGAAAACCTGGAGTAGAGCCCCAAAGGCAGTTGGCTGTCAACTTTCCAGCAACACCTGCAGGCAAACTGTCCCCAAATGTAATGCCATGTATTCCTTTGGATCTTGTCAGTATGGCTGAGTATGATGGCATGTAGTTTCGGCAGTGCTTGACCTCCATATACCACTCAGGCCCATGCCCTGGAGAGGTCATTCGGGTCTCACTAGCAAAGGACTAAATTTTGACCAAACCAGGTGCTACCTTTATTTTTTGAGATAAACAGATGCCTAAAAGTCTAGATGTTTTACTAGATTTCTTATGTATTTTTTGACATTTTAGTCCTGGTATGAATGCTGTTATAATCTCTAATGCAATATAAGAAGGTAAAGTTTTCATCCAGACCAAACTAAGGTATAAAATTCTGATATTTGGTCAGATTTTGAGAAATGGGTTCAGAAGTTCTTAGTATACTTATGAGGGTAACTAAAAAAAAAAATTATCCTCTATATCTTTAGTTTTGTCACTCTGCCTTGTGCTTATAGTTGGTACTATTGTGGTCCTGTGATTGAAGTTTGCACTTGATCATGACAGTTTTCTTGCTGCTGTCACAGTGTAAACATGGCCACTCTGCCAGCAGTGTGCACCAAGGGGGAACAAAGAGCAGCAATCTGAATCCACAGAGAACCTACTGCCTCATTGATGGTAACTCGCTGGTTCACCATTACCATATCCTGAGCTTTCTGAATCTTCTTGTTAGTGGTGGAGGTTGACAAGCATCCTGCTCCTTCTTCGTGTGTCACGCTTGTCCGGCCACTTTTAAAATACTTGATCCCCTCATAAACACTTCTACGCAATGGTGCACTGTTGCCGTATTGTGTTAAAAGCCTTTGATGAAGTTCAGCCCCTGACATACCTTCCAATCAGAGAAATTGGATCACTGCTTTTTATTCCTTTTTGGTGCCCACTGCTAGTGGAGCAGACATGTTTACACTATGACAGTAGCAAGATAACAGGTGTGATAAGCACAAGGCAGTGTGATAAATCTATAAATAACATTGCAAAAAAAACATGGTGTCAAAAGGATGGATTTTTTGCCCGACATCATTTTTATTTTAACTACCATCACTCCTTGCCAATGTTTACTCTTTGAAAAAGCTATTAGTGTAACCCGGATATAAGAGAGATTTCCTCTGGTCCCAAATTAGAGCCTGTGTTAATGTATATAAAATAGACCAAACCCGGATATAAGAGACTTCTTCTCCGGTCCCGACAACTCTCTTATATCCGGGTTACACTGTATTAGAATTGTAATAAAAACTAAACATATGAAAGTGAATTTACTAATTTTCTTCGTTCTTGGAAATTGACAACAAAAATAATAAATACTATTTAAATATTATTTATTGGAATGGTTGGCAAAACATGAGATAATTGCCAATTTATTTGAACTTTATAAAACCGTAAATAATAAAGATTTTCTTATAGTTGGTTCACATATTTTAGTAAATGTTTATGAATAAAAAAAATTGTTTTCATATTTCACAAGAAAAAAATGTATAAATTTATTATCATCATATGTTTAGGTTTTATTACAATTCTAATCATCACTTTTTTTTAAAACAAACATTGCCGAGGAGTGAAGGTAGTTAAAATAATAGCAGTGTTGATGGAAAAGCCATCCTTTTGACATTCATTTTGATTTTATTTGCAGACATGAAGGTCCTTTTGAAGATGTCCAAAAGAGAGTATTCCAATCATTTATTACCAGCTGTAAAAATTATATTTCTATATTCAGGCGACGGGGCATCAGATTAATCTTTAATGGGTACCCTCTAATAGATTTATAAAGGCTTTTAGTAAAATATAATCTCGAAACCTGTGTCAATTTACTTAACTGATTTTGTCAACAACATCATAAGGATTTTTTTTTTTTAAAAAAAAGGCCATTTTATATTATCATCCACTTGTTAGTGTTTGATATAATTTGAAAATGTTAAAAAAAACCCTGAAAATACAAAATAATCCTGTTTTCTGTATTGACAATATCCATGGATAGGCAATTTTTTTTTTTTTGTATAGAATGACATCTTTGCAACAAATAGCAAAGAACTAATTATCGTTACTTACACTGGGACTATTTTTCTCATCTTTGGTTTTCCTATTTTGGTTATTGTCTTCATCAGGTGTTTTTTGATCCAGGAAATCTTTAGGGTATTTTGAACTGAACTTACGGGGTTGAGATTGTTCTCATTCAGCTATCCATATCTAAGAATATCTAATACTGTTTTTCTTTTATTTAATACAGCTCAGCTATTATTTACATGTGGACTTATTTAATACAGTGACTACCAAATTTAACAAAAGAGAAAAAGATTCAGTGAGTGCAATCAAGCATGACAAGTAGCAGCAGCTGTACTCATCAGCAGGCAGGTTAAGTTTAAAGCTCCAAGATCTCCTCAGAGAACTGACCCACAGGACAATAGACTAGGTTTGTGAATTTGATGACATAGTAATTGTGTGTTCAATCCCTGGGAGGGACAGTGTGTAGTTGGACTCTGGAAACAGGATGAGTAGTACGTGACTAATAATAATAAAAATAGTAGATGAGATATCCCTAGACATGGGCAGTGGAACAAGAATGGATTAAATAAAGGGTTCAGTTTGAAATTTCATTTAAGTTAGCCAGATCAACATCCACCTGAAACATTAGTATAACACCAACAGAGATGAGGATAATAATTTGCATGTTGGATTAATACATTTACTCATGGTTGGCAGTTTTTTTTTTTTTTTATTATGACACTGACTACAAGTTATCCTGTCAACAAGTTGATTCACAGTGATACTTTTAGTGTGATGACAATGTTAAGAGTTCAGTTGAAGCTATAAAATCCATTCATGAAAATTTTTCATTGTTAAGATGGCTATTATAAACTTGGTGTTTGAGGTCGGATTTTGTAATTGACCTCTGACAGTCAATGTGCTAAAAGTGTTGGTTTGTGGATTTGGTGATATAGTAATTGTGAATTCTAATCCCTTGACTAGGTACTGCAGACTTAGAATTAGTGGAAAACAGGGAGAGAAATAATTGAGAAAAGAGGAGGAAGATGTGATGTCTGGTATTAGTGAGTAGTAACATACATTTATTTAATCTATATTAACATAGAAAATATGTAAATTAACTTGTGATCCTGTTTTGAATTTTATTATCAGTAATTTAAGTATCTGTAGAAATTATTTAACTAGATGATTGTTCAACATAGGATTGATATTGCATAACAGTTCAATACTCATTTCTTAATAGTTTTCTTAGCAAAATATGCCTGCCAAAAGCTATCTCAACGCACCTTTGGATTTCAGTGTCACATTCCTGGGATATTTAATTTTTTGTACTTGTTTAATTTTGGTATCTCCAATTTGTCATGTTCAACTTTTTTTCTTTTTTTCATACATTCTGTCTTCTTACAATTAATGCTTAGTCTTTTCTTCCCTTTACTTCCTTCGGTAAATATTCTTTCTGTGTCTGCCACAAATCTAATGTTAAGATTGTGGCCGCCAATAATGAATCTTGGTAGGATTTCTAATTCTCTCAGAACTTCTTCACTGTAAAGGTTGAAGAAGTTTCTTTTTTGAATTGAAGAAAGCTAAAAGATGCAAATTTTCAGAAAATCACAACTCGGCGCGCTATGGAAGATGCCAGGTGACACAATTCACTTGGTGTCTTCCATAGCTTCTCTAGACCTTTCTGCTAACCTGCGCATTCCTAAATTTAAAAAAGTAATAACATTTTTGCTCTTGTATATAAATGCTTGTTACAAAATAAAATCCCTTCATTTGCCTTCATAAAGTCCCTCAGAGGATGAAACACATTGGCTAAGATAAGCTTTCCCTTTATTTATATTGTCTTTTACAGATACAGTATATTTGAAATTTTACACACATTATATAAAGTCATCTTCTAATATATTAGACAAGTTATATTTTAATTTTGCCTTAGAATCTGGAAAAGGGTTTTAAAATAAGAAAAAAAAATAATTTTCTATCTTTCTACTTGAAAGAAATATTTTCTTTAAAAAAAAGTTTCACTTGGAACACTGAGAGAGAAAAGAATAAAAAAAACATTTTATTTTATTTATACTTTTTCTGAAGTTTTATTTTATATGTATATTATATTTTCCATTTTTATTTTGAGGTCTTTCATTTAACAGACATTAAGGATTGAAGTCGGCAGGGGAGACAACCACAGCCAATTTGGCAGACCTTCATCCAAAAACAATTCATTCCAGCAATCATGGGAACAATAGAAAAGGCAGTGAAGATAGACAGGCTGGAGAGAGGACATAGATTGGGAGGAGGAGGAGGAGGAGAAGCAATTTTGCTGATGGTCATATTGTTCCGTCCTTCCAGAAGTCAGGGAGATAAATTATCTGTGAGGTAGAAGGAAGGCGGCTCTTTCTGTTGTTATCTCAACTTATAGGGGGTGACGAGATGTTTAGAGAAGGCATGGAGTTTTTCCACTCCGCGCACCTCGTCGTCCATAAGTGGTAACTGGGTGATATGGAAGTCTTCATACAAATCGAGGATCTAGAAAAGAAAAGGAAACTTGCTTTCAAGATTCTGTTTTGTTCTTGAGAATAAAAAAAAAAAACAAAAAAAACAACCTATCTTAACAATCACTATGTATTCCAGTAAGATTCATTTTAAATATGTATCTTTGTATAAAATTTAAATGACACTGTCAGTGATTGGTAAAATGAATTATCCCGATTTCAAAATTGACAGGTAAACAAGTAAAATTAACTTACTTGGTCTATGTATTTGGACTGAATTTTATGACGAGCTTTGCACATGCTACATGTCTGTTCGTCCTTTGGCACAAACAGTAGCTGGTTTACAATGATGTTATGCGTGTCAATGCCATAACGAGTGAGTTCCTGCACTAAACGTTCAGTTTCATACAAAGATAAAAACTCTGCAATACATACACACACAAATGTGGTTTGATCCTGAAATGGAAAAAAAAAAAAAGGTGTGGTTTATATGCATTGGATACAGTGATAAAATGAAATTGCTTGAGGAAAAGTCTTTTTCATTGAAATTTATACCTAGCTTAATTTTTTTTTTTTTTTTAAATTTCCTAAGCTTAGGACAAAATAAGAGTAACACATGAGAAACTGGATATCATGCTTCATTGATCTGGCTTAATTTTTATACTGAAGAAGGAAAATAGATAAACCCTTGCATTAGATACCATTGTCATTTTACCTAGAACCTAGTATAAGCACCAATGAGAGTTAATCGCACTACACTAAGTACCACAATATGCATTTTCTTGTCAGTTATTGTATAATTTCTTTAATTAGCAATACCCGTGTAAATTTCATGGTTTTTTACCTGTCTTAATGCTTGAATACATTTGATATTTCTATGCTTATTAAAATATCTGTGGAAATTACCCCATTTGCATCATTAAATATTATAATAACAATCAACGTTATGGATGCCGGTCCTTATTTAAGATTAAAAATTGACAAGATTTTACAAGTATACTTAAGGCATTTATAACACTAAATTTCAGAAGTTTGGCTTTTGCAAGAAACCTCAACCAAGTGTCTACACATAAAACTAAATATACTCAAATTTATATGACTAATATTTCTTTGTGTACAATATTTTTGGTAATCTGCCTTATTCTCCAGTGCTTCAGTGATTACCTGCTTAAATCCTTCTAGGTTTGTAAATCATAGAAGTGCTGGAGAATGTTACAGAAGACATGCTACAGCATATTTGGCAGGAGCTGGACTACCGACTTGATGTGTGTCATGTCACAGGTGGTGTGAAATTGGTTATAAAATCTACATCACTTTTAATATTTTTTGGAATTTTGATAAATAAAACTTTTGTTTAATATGAAGCACATGTAATTACTCAGATATTCACATTTTAAATGATGTCAATTTTTTAGGGACACTATATATATATATATATATATATATAAAATTTTAGTCTTCTACAAGTTACTGACAAATAAATAGTATTCTTGCTCCCATGTCTACAGTGTACATCTAAAAGCTTACCAGAAACCATTCTAAGATTAATAAGAATTTTTAAAAAAATTCCCATAACTCACAGGATTCTTAAATTGAATGTTCACATTTCTGATAGTGTCTAGCATTTCATCTAGACGTTTGGTCATCTCATCTGCATTCAAATCTTGCATACCTAACATTCCTGCCACCTGAAACAGAAAAAAAAAGTTCAGTGAGAGATTTTATAAAAGAAAAAAAAAAAGGAAGGAAAAGAAAATTTATCAGTGTTGCAAGGAAAGAATGTTTTCAATTTGAAGATTTTTTTCTTCTTTTCCTTTTTAATAAAACTGAAGTTATTAATGGTCTACAAATATATTATCTAAAATCCCAGAAAGAGTTAAAATAGGGAAATGAAAAAAACAAAACTTACTTGTGAAATAAATGGATTAAAATGGCTACGAATCCGCAGCAATTTCCCCAACCCCTTCTCCACAACACTTGGAAAAGAGAGAAGACGCAGAGTATGTCCTGTTGGTGCTGTGTCAAACACAACGCATGAAAAGTTCATGCCTTTTACTAACCTAAAATCAGAAAGAACATTTAAAAATTATCAAAGAAATAAAAAAGAAAAGTTAAAATATTTTGAGATTTTATGTTAGTTTCTTCAGGCAGCCTCAGTAGGGGTTTTGGGTTAAATAAAAAAAAAATCATGGATTTGAACTAGGTCTTTATTGAACGCTATCTTATTCAAAAAATCATCTCCATCAGGAACTTCTGGATCATATTTAATTTAAAAATGAAGAGGATTTTAACAATTTCAGAAACTGTTTTTTGTAACAAGCACAACATAACACTGAAGTAGGTTTTTTTTTATGAGAACTTAAAATTTACATTGTTGACAGTTATTAAATTTAATCTGCTAAAAACAGTGCCTGGGAGCCTTTTATACATAATAAAAACTGCGAGTTCAAGCTAAAATGCTTTTTGAGTTATGTGATGATGACAGATGGAAACAAATAAGGCATTTTGAAAGAAATGAGAGGAGAGAAAGAAAAAAGCCCCCCCCCCACCTTTATTCAATCACAATAAAAATTATAGCAGTACACGACAATATCATTCAAAAGTTTGGAAACCTCTGATAATTATTATGGAAACTCCTCAGTAATTTTTTTTTCTTTAATTGAATTTACAAGAGGGTTCCATCTTATTCTTTTTCTATTCTCTTCATTGAATAGTTCCATGGCAAATCATGAATTTAATCAAACACCCAATCTGGTCACGTGACATTCAAAATAGAAAGTTCTTAACTCTCTGCTGCTCAAAAAAGGGGTAATTATTGAATTGAATTGTACAAGCTAGCATAATGGAGTATGTAAGCAATTGAAAATAATCAAATTCTACTTTTTCAAAGATCAGTGGGCAGTGTACAGCTAAAGTAAGGTTTGTTGTAATACAGAAATGTTCAGGATGGCCTGCAAAGGCATTATATTTTCTGCCACCAGAAATAACTATAAATTCAAAAAGGAATTTGCCTGCTCTGGAGTCATATCTACTATCATTCACAAAGAAAAGAAAAAGCGCAATTTTTTAGGCAAATTGAATAGCCACGAGTTATTCCCTTTATCGCAAACTCTTTAGGATGAGACTTTAACAGGACTTTCCTGTGAGATGCAGACTTGTAAACACCTTTTTGAAATTGACGTAATAAACATCAGTTAGCCTTGACACTTTTTGCTTGTCGTTGTTCCTAATGCCATCCTAATAAGAATACTACAGGATGGTGCTCCAGGCCATACAAAGGTTAATGTGCATGCATGGGTTTAGCAGGAGGGAAGTACTGGTTTTAGGATCATGATATTGATTCCTTGCAATAGCTGCCTGACTAGATATAAGCTTAAGTTTTCTATAGGAAGAAGAGATTGTTGGGTCGACAGGAAATTGCCATCTCAACAGCCAGGAGTCAGTTGATCAAAATTAGCCCTTTGCACATAGGCCCTGAGTGGCCTTTTGGTAGTGTTTCGAAAACATTCAAAATATAACGTAAATTATTAATCAACCACTGAGTGTTTCTCTTGTATTTTTGAGGGACTTTTTATGACCTAGCATCTGCTTAAGGGAATCTATAAATACAGGCCATACACCAAGGAAAAATCAGTTGCAGAATGAATTCCACATTGTCAACTCAAACGGATTACTAATCACCTGAAACATTTCCTGCTTTTTTCTGATGTAAATTTTACAACGATAAGGTATGAACATTCCCCTTTTCATGGGGTTTTATTATAAACACACACTGAGGTGTGTCTATCAACTTTTCCATTTCTTATGGATTTTATTAAAACACACCTATGTGCATGTGAACTTTCTTCTTTCAAGGGTGTATTTCAAAATACCTCAAATGTGAACTCGCCCTTATCATATTCACCACATGATGTATAAAAAATCCAATAAATTCTTATTTGTTGATAAATAAATCTTCATCTCAAGTTTCATTTCAAATTCACTTGTTGAAATGCATTGCTTCAACATTGTGTTTTTATGTCTGTTTTCTATCTATGTTGGGTCAAGATTGTTTCATTTAGAACAGCACCTGGAATAATTAGTAATCACTGTTACTACCTTAAATGAGTTAGCACCAACCACATATCACCTTTTGCATCCCTTAAATCTATAATGAATCTCTCAACTTCTTCAGAAAATCAGCCACTTCAACAAGTATCATCCAGCATCTGGCAGCAAAATAAAGAACTGGGTCCTTAATTTTTTGGTGTAATGATTTTGGAGCGATATGTGAAAGGCTTGGCAACTTAACAGATTGATCACTGTTCAAATTTTTGAAACTTTAGTATAACATCTTGTATTAACTATCATTGAGGCTGTGTTATGCATAGCAATTACTGATGAAGCTAGACTAGTTGTGTCAAAGTCTTTTTTTGTCATAAACCTATATAAACACCTGTACTCACTTGATGACCTCTGCAAAACTCATTGCTTCATCAATTCCAGGGAATGCTCCAAGTAGTTCTTGCATCATTGTCTTACCCATACTCATCATGTCGGCTGCAAAAGAAAAGATGAATTGAACAGAGACTTTCAACTGAAAGAACAAAATGACAAAATCCAAAAGCAGTTTATAGGGAAGAATTAAAAACGAAAAAGAAATGAGTAAAAACATGAATTTAAAATTTATTACGATATTTAAAACTTAATGTTACCAGATCAGTTGCTAATTTGAATAGAGAGTTCTCCATCTTTCATGTGCCAATAATAATTCCACAGTCAAACTGTTAAATCCTATCAGTGTTCTCCTAGATGCCACAGTTAGAATATCTCTTCTATAGGTACTGCCACTAACTTAAGGATTAAAATGATTTTTTTAAAATTAAAAAGCTTTCTTGAAGCTTTCATTTTAGCTTTAAATGAAAGATAAAAGATTAAATTTATTATTTCCAGTAAGCAAGATACTCATGTATTTCAAACAGAAATTATATTGATTAGACTCTCTTCACTTTTGGGGGGCTAAAAATGGCTGATTAGTGCCCCTTTTTTTTTTTAGTCAGCTGTCATCACAATGTAATTTTCTTTATTAAAATACTTTTCAAAAATAAAATATACTTTTCTGAAACTTTATTTGAGGAATATTAGCTGATTCAAATTATAATTAATCTGATTTGAAACAAATATTATTTACTCTAACTTGAAAATAACAGATAAATAGATTTTTAAAACAAACATTATGTGCTTTCATCACTTGTCAATCACTTAACAAGCACTGATAATGTGCTGACAGTTTTATTGTTATTCTACAGAGACTTTATCTGTTAAAAGATAATTTAAGAAAATGATGGATGAGTATCTTTTTTATATAATTTTTAAGTACTCAGTAATCTTAAAAATGTTGGAAATATTCTCTGTAATCTAATTTTAGGAATGTTGTCTTTAAATTTAATATAGTCATCAATCTTATTTTCTGATAATGTCATATATAGTCACCTATACTTTCAAAATGGGAATGTTTATACACATAAAAAAATTATTTTAAAAATCTTTGTGCAAGATGATCTGTATTAAACTTTTCAGTTTTTGCTTTGTAAATATAGTTTTCACTTAATGACCTAATGAATCAAAGTTTTGATGAATTTTTAAAAGATTTTTGAAAGTTTATAAATTATTATAATTAAAAAAACTCAAAATAATTCTTGTAAAAATTCATTATTCATTGAAAAATTTTTTTTTCTTCAGACTATAATGTCCTTAATGTACATTATTTATAAAAGCTTATCTAATTAATAATGTCATAGTTTTATTAGATTTTATTTTACTATTTGGAGGAGATTTTCATAAAAGCATTAACTGTTTGCAGGATTTGGATGATAATGTATGTACGTGTCTAATGGGCATTTTTGATTTTGTCTGGTAAGTTTCACTATGTTGATTGGGAGAGGTTTCATGTGGGAGTGAAAAGCTTCAGTGACATCGGACGCAGGTATGCGGGTCTTAGATTCTTTACGTATGATTTATATGAAAGTTGGTGATATGAAAAAGTGTGCTTGGCACATGTTTATCGATGAGACAATGTCTATTAGTATCCCTTATAAATATTCATAATAAAACATGCTGCTTTCTTATTAGGGAAGAAAAAAAAATCGATAATCAGTTATTACCTGCTTTATTTCTGTGTCACGAGAGAGATCAGTCAGTTGTCTCAACGTAGATCTCTCTTATGTTTGTAGAGGTGGGCTTTATATATATATATATATATATATATATATAATTTGCAACTTTTTCTATATATATATATATATATATAATTTGCAACTTTTTCTATATATATATATATATATATATAATTTGCAACTTTCTATATATATATATATATATATATATATATATATATGGAGAGAGAAGGAGATCACCGACCTCTGTGGGATCATGTTGAGATCATTGACAAGGAACACGATTGGAAAATTTGTAAACTTAAGGAATCAGCACATATGCTAGGCCACAAAAATCTCCTGAGCCGACCAAGCATAGAGATAAATACAATATGGGAACCAGTAATAATGAGTGCCAGAGAAAAGCAATGATAACAACATAGTTGCAATATGAACTCTGGTAAAAACATGGATTGATAACAGCAAAATGAGCACTGGTAAAAATGGTTGCTGAAGACATTAGGTTTATAATACCCAGAAATTCATACCCAGATGTCCTGAAGGCGTTGGTAAGGACCCAAAGAGTGCGAGTTCAATACCCAGTTAAGGCAGTGGAGAACATTCAGAGGGAAATTAACAGGAGATAACTGACAGCACGTGGAATTAGAATAGTCTACCCCAGTGAGCGAAATAAAGGGTTCGGTTTGACATTCCAACCACCTGAAGAAGGCCGAAAAAGATGAGGACAATAGTTCGAATAATGTAAATAATGTACATAATACCTCATTTCAGAAACATAGACATATATATATATATATATATATATATATATATAAAAAGAATGATGGTTAGTAGAGTTACGACTATTAAATATTTGAAAAATAAATTAGTGTATGAAGTGTAATACATGATTTTGTATTGAGAGAAAAGTCTCAAGTACAAATCAAGTAGAAGTAAGGTCAGTCATTGAAAACAGTAACGTTATGACTAAACCAGTATTGAGACCAAGTGATGAGCTCATCAATCCAGAATAAAACTGCAAAATATAAATTCTCATCTGAAAGTATCTGGACAAAACCAAATGTTAACATGAAATGCATTCAGAATGTGCAATATGTGAAAACATATTTGAGAAGTTCAATGTTGGAAACCTAACAGCTTGTCATATCAGCTACAGGTGTAATATTTGGCCATAATAATGTGATCAATGGTATGCTAAAGTATGATAATCTATAAGCAAGATAATTTTGTATTTAAGAATGAAAAAGAAAGTAAGTAAAGAAAGGGAATACTGTAAAGAATGCATCTTGGCAGAGAAACTAAATATATTGGTGTCAGGCTTCAAAATGCATTTCTACAGGAAGGAAGTTAAAATTGGTGAAAATGTTCTTCCATTGAAATATTAAAATAGCTTGCTGTTATGTAAATGAAGGATGTGTTGTTTCTGGGTATTTTCTTAGTAAAAAAAACTATAATGGCAGATGTAATTGATAAATTGATATGATGATAAATAAATACCTTCTTCAAAATATTCTTCAGGTAATTCAGATAATCCTAAGTTGGGATCAATCTCCTGAAAAAGATTAAACAAGAAAAATGTCAAGAGAGAGAAAGAAGAAAAAAAATTTTTTTTTTTTTTTCATGATGTTGATGCAAAAAAATCCCTGCACTCACTTTTACACTATGTTGGAGTAATTTTTCAAGAGTTGTCGACCTTTCCTCAATTCTTTATTGCTTGTGTATGCATGTTCTTTAAGAACTGTTTGCAGAAAAAAATGAAATTTTACGAGACAGGGGAAAAGGTACAGTGGAAGTCAGATACGGGACCACTGATGTTGCATCTGTAGAATAAAACATACTACTAACATATAATAAATTTACTAATGTTATATATTATTCACAAATGGTGGTAACATTTAATTTACATAATAATTTTTAAAAGCAATAAATATTTCATCTGTGTTTATTTTTAATTCAGATTTAAAAAGGTGTCATGTTTCTATCAATATATTTTTTTAAAAATTCCACGTTTGTATAGAATTTATATTTGTTTTGTCAAAATTCAGTTGTAAGATAGAAAATCTACATCATTTGTAATAAGCATTGTTGTCTGACATTTCACATTACTGAAAATTAGTTGAACATATTTGAAAAATATGTTTATGGAATTATCTAAATAAGTAAAAATAATCAGTTTCATTAGATTTTCTTGAAACTGTACCAAATTAATTAAACAAGTGAAAAAAATTTTTTTATTATTATTATTAATATAAACATTAGAAAATTATTCAGCTGTTTCTCATGATCGCTCTTTGTATTAGATTGTTTGGAAAATAATGTCCAATTATTAAGTCAAGTTTTATTCTTGAATGAATGTATTTAAACAAAGTTTAAATCAGTCAAAATGGGAACCCTGAATATCTATAAATTTCTGCCATTGAGTTACTAAGTTATTTATGCCTTTATGATAAAGGTTAGGAGGCCAAGAAATCTTTGAATGCAGTTTCTGCAATGGAATGTTTTTTGGCATAAAAAATTGTCAAGATACTTAAAAAAATTGGTCATCAGTGGCTTAGAAACTAGGAGAATATATGGTGGATGTGGCGATGTTTCATATCCTAATTCAGAGAGCTTCTGCTATGTCATCCTCACAAAATATGGCCGAGCATTGTCATGAAGTAGAATTGGACCTCGTTGATTAACCAGTGCCAGTCGTTGCTTAAGTGAATGTGCATTTCATCCAGTTATAGCAGTAAACTTTAGCAGTGATATCCTGGTTAGATTCCAGAAAGCTGTGATAGATAATGCCAATGGCAGACTACCAGACAAAAACCATAATTTCCTGTTGATTAAATTTCAATTTTGGAAAGTGTTTGGATGCTTTGTAATGATCAAGCCATTGAGACGATTGTCATAAAGGATCCATTTCTCATCACAAGTCACTTTTTGATAAAGAAATGGATAATTTGAATTTTGCAGATGTAGCATTGAAAACACTGAACTCTTTGACTTTCATTGAGGTCAAGTGGAACCCATTTATTGAGTTTCTTCACCATGACGACAATTTTCTTTCTTGAAATGGTGACATTCATTATCTGTGACATTCTTCTGACACTTTAATGTGAGTTTTGTTCAACTAGTGGTTCCAGATGTTAAATGTCAATTACAGCTGGATGTCCTCTCTACCTCCTTGATCTTCAAGATGCATATCCCCATTACAGAACTTCAGAAACAAGTGCCATACTACATGGTCACAAGTAGATCCTTCACTGCATGCTCTGTTAATGTTTGAGAAGCATTATGACCAAGCTTGAATGCCAACAAAAAAAAAAAAAAAAAAATAAACACATTTCTTCTTTTTTCATGTTCAAGATGAGGAGTATATAATGTTTTAAGTTAAATTCTGAAAGAGATTGATATAAAACAAAGAGGATACTTTAATCATCAGGACTGAGTTAATATATTTTTGTGCAATTATTATAAAAATTTTTATTTTAAAATCAGACATTTTACTTCAAACAACCTAATAGCTATATCTAGAGTAGAAAATTCAAGCGGACATAGCATAATAACAAAAAGAACTTCAGAAAAAAGATGTCTTGCTGAAAATGTTGTTTATACAGAAATTTTAGAGGTAACGGAAATTCTATGACAACTTATTTTTCTCTGATGGGTATTTGGCTAGTATTAATAGATGAATGAAAATACACATACGCACACATACAGTGCGATGGATAAATTGTCGCCATTTCATATTTTTAATTTCACGTGTGTGTTGTTTATGATTTTGTCGACTGCACAGTATAGTCGGGTCAGTTGGGCACCATCTGGGAGAAAAAGAGCACCATGATGCAATTCACTCTGCTAGAAATTTTGAAATGGCATGCTTTACAGCTTGGCCATCATGCTGGAAGCTCCAATTCAAACATTTCAGAGTGTTTGGGTGCCAATCTGAGGACAGTGCAAAGAATTTGGGAAGTGCTGGAGGAGTCTAATTGTGATTACAAAGGTGTTTGGATGATGATGGTATGAATTCATTCATCTTCCCAGAGGGCCTCAGACAAAACAGAGGCATATATAAAGTGCCTTGAGGAGGTAGTGCTGCCCTGGGTCAAGAGAGTGGCTGCTGGAAGGCCTTATGTCTGGCAACAGGACTCTATACTATGCCACACAAGCAGGAGAACCCAGTCATGGCTGTCAGATAATTTCTGTTAGCACATCACCTCTTACATCTGGCCACCTAACTTCCCAGACTGCAACCCCCTTTGATTATTATGTGTCAGGCACACTTGAGCGAGAGACCATCAAAACTCCTTGTAACACCAAAAACCAACTGAAGGCAAGAATTATGGCAGCATTCACAAACTTGAACAAGGAGACCATCCAGAAGAGTTGCAGGATATTCCAAAGTCACTTGGAGGCTGTTCTTGAAGCTAATTGCAATTTTATTGAATGAATTTAATCTCTAGTATTTCAAGATATTTTTGTGTAATTTTAATAAATATATGTTAAAATGAGATGTCAGTGTTATTTTCATTTTTGTGTAATTCAGACAACAATTTATCTGTTGCACCATATATATTTACTTTTTAATTTTCAGACATATAAAAGATTGTTAGGTGCTGAAAGAAAGATATAACCTTGAAAGAGAAACAAGATATTGTAAAGGTATTGTCCTATGGGAAACAAATTTGGGAATTATGAATAAAAAATATTAAACAGAGACCAAAGAACAATAAAAAAAGTAATTGTAAACATTGGCAACATAAGAACAGGAAAAAAATAGCTTTAAGCAAGTCGCAAAAAGAGAAAAAAATACAAGAAAAATAGATTGACCAGTAAGAAAATATTTGAAGATATAAGTATTGCAAATATAAACAATGTACATTTATTTTTATATTTCATGTTCAATCTGTAGTGAAAAGGGAGGTAAATCAACTCAAGTTAATTTTTTTATATGTGATTACTTGCCTTGTTTTAATAATCTATAAAAATAAAATATTTATTTGCATTTAGACAAAATTAGTTCTCGAGCAAAATTAACAGTTTAATTAATCAGTTCCTTTATTTCTACGTTTCTTAGATCGCAGTCTTATTGTGAGGCGCTTAGATACCTTCGTCTATTAAGTAATCTTTTTGCTTCAATTTGGTCTTGAAATAGGCTATCGTTGCAATCACTGTTGTTCTGTTGCTAATCTCTTTCTTCCAAGAGGTATTTCCATTTCACTGTTAAACACATCAAATTTTTAAGATTGCAAAAAGCAATTTATATAGTAAGCAATGAATCATAGATAGCAATGAACGTCTAAAAAAAATATAAAGAGAAAATATTAATTAAATGGTTCATTGGCCTTAACTCCACTTTCTTTCCTTTTATGCACCATGTGCTTTCAGGACATAGGTGATCATGGCTCTCCACCTTCCTCTATCCCTTGCAGCTCTCAACAGGTTCCTTCCCTCTGCTTCCTCCCCCAGACCATGTTCTGTCATCCACTTGCTTAAGCCTGCCAGGTATGTCACACGTTGTTTTCCCTTATCTCTCTTTCCCTCTATTTGAGCCGTTAGTTTCAGATTCTCCAGGCCCTTCTTCATTATGTGTCCCAGAAACTTCAGCTGTCACTTCCTGATGTTAAGTATAAGACTCCTACTTGTTAGCAACCTCTCTAAGACCTCATTGTTGCTCACACGCTCAGTCCATGATATCCTTAGCATCCTTCTGTAGAACCACATCTATCGCCTAGAGTCTCTTCTTCATCTTTGAGGAAATTGTCCAACATTCGCTGCTGTAAATAATTACAAATGTCACGTAACAGTTCAGTATTCTTTTCTTTGTTACCAAAGAAATCCTCCTGTCTCACAGTACTCTGCCCAGCTTTTGAAATGTGTCCTTGTCTATCTCAATACGTTTATGGATCTCAGTGTCGCACTTACTGTCCTCTGTCAAGATGCTTCCTAGATATTTAAATTTCCGCATCTGCTTGATTCTAGTGTTCCTGACCTGTAAATCGCATTTCAGACTCATCCTCTTACTGATGACCATGCATTCCATCTTCTTGTAGTTTATGCTTAGTCCTTTCTTCCCACTCTCCGTCACTACCTTCTGTAGGAGATTTTGTAATTTCTTTTCCATGTCTGTTATCAGTACTGTCATCTGCATATCTTTTGTTTCAAAACTTGTTTCATTGCATCTCACTATTAATACTTTCTAACAATTGCCATCCTTTTTGATGGCACAGGTACACTAACAGAATAATAATATCCCACTTAAGCATATGTCTCTGATGGGATATATCTTTTACATTAATTTATAAATAAAAATCTATCTTGCACTTTGTTTTCAACATAACACCTCCTTCATATAGATTAATATGAGGTTTTTAATAAGGATTGACATCATATTACTCATTGATAAATATATCTCAAAAATGTTACCAACATTAATTTGCCAATACCAATTTTATTGTGAAAAACATTGACTTGCTTAATGAAATTTGAGTTGAGTGTTTTTTTTGAGTGGTAAAAACGAACTAACCATTTTGGAATATTTTTTTCTGAATTAATGTAAAGCATTTAATGTCATTGTAAAACATAATTTTAGATGGAAACAAGAAAAAATATGTCAAATGAAAAAGCAAACGAAAAATTTCCATGAACAGAAATGGGACACACACACAAACATATATATCTCGACACATTTAAACTGTTAAAATAAATATTTTATACAATGGTATCTTCATAAAAAGAAGTCAATTTTTCCAAGGAATTATTTCGAACTATCAGCCTTCAACCTCCTTTTAGCAAACTACTAGAGGCCCTAATCAATTCTGAATTAGTTAAGCATCTTACAATTCAGGGCCTTTTTTCAGGCAAGCAATATGGCTTTCATTTCTCTGGGTCAACTGCTGATGTATTAAAAATTATTGTGGAAAGAGTCTATCAAGCTTTAGATAAGAATGAAGTTCAGGCTGCTATTTGGATATCTGGAAACTGTTTGACAGAGTTTAGCATACTTGTCTTCTTCATAAGTTTTCAACTTATGAAGTCTCCGGATAAATTTTTGATTCAGTCTTATCAAATCATGAAATGAAAGTTGTGCTGAACGGCCACTCTTCTAATTCATTCTGTACTAATACAGGTGTCTGCCAGGGTTTTATCCTTGGTCCCACTTTGTTTTTAATTTTCATTAATGACCTTCCTGATGGAATCAGTTCTCAACTTAGTATCTATGCTGATGACAACCATTTACTCATGTCTTGATACTAAGTCTGATCAGTACGATCACGTCAAATTGGCAGCTGATCTCAAAAAACGACCTACAGTCTGTTGTTAACTGGGTAAAAGGATGGCTTGTTAATTTTAATGCCTCTAAAACAAAACTACTTTCTATTAATCATCTGAGAGACCCCTTTCTGCTTTCTATCAACCTGGCTGATGCTAACCTTCTCAGATGAAGTAGAAAGACTACATTGAATCTATTGCTTGATCAGTTGCTAAGAAAGTTGACACACTGTCATGTTAGACAATGTTTCTCTCCAGTATCTATCTTACATATCTATAAGTCTAGAATTTTCCCTTGCTGGGAATATTATTGCTCAGCAATATTATTAGTCCTGACCTGGCATCTCAGTTTTAGTCAATTTGGTTCCCTGTGCCTTTTCTATAAATACTTTCATGGTAATTATTTGTATGAGTTCTTTGCTATGGTAGCCAGACTTTATGAATTCAAGTGCAGTACTAGATTGGCAACAAGGTCTCATCAATTTATAGTTGAATTGACTATACGTGATTGTAAGTTAAAGGATACATCTTTTTTTATAAGTACTAATCGATTTCCTTTATTAAACAGGTGACTCTGAAGAGCATTTTGGTGTAAAACTCTGGAGTCAGTCAATTATTACAATAAAATACTGGACTGAGAGAAAAATGGAGAAACTGAAAGAATCAGCACATATGCTAGGCTATGAAAATTTCCTTAATAGGCCTAGCATAGAAAGATACAATATGGTAGCTGTTATTAAATAAAGAAAGAGATGTGACAACAAATCTTCAACAACAACAGCAGTTAAAAAAAAAAAAAATAATAAAAATTAAGCCTCAATGAATGCTGTCAAGTGTGAGAAGCAGTGGCACTCATCAGCAAGCAGGTTAGGTTTAAGGCTCCATGTTCTCCACTCAGAAGTGTCCTTCATGAAAAAAAGCCTAGTGGATTAAGGTGTTGGTTTGTGAACTTGGTGGTGGCATGGTAATTGTGAGTTCAATCATTGTGTCAGGCAGTGTGTAATTGGACTCAGTGGAAATGGGGTGAGCAATAACTGAGCCATACTAAATAAGAACTAGGCAAGATGTCCCTGGACAAGGACAGCAGAATGAGAACAATCAACCTCTGTAGATTAAATAAAAGGCTCAGCTCTAAATTCCTTGAAGGTTATCTGGATCAACTATCATGAAATGTGATAACAACAACAAAGATGAAAAGAGTAGCCTGCATGTAAATAAGATAAATCAATAAAAATTTTATTGATTTATTGAATATATTATTATTCATTTTTATATATACATATGCTCTATCTCCGATATTGAGCACATTATCCTATAAATATAGCACACCATAAACTATATATATACATACATATACACACACACAAGGGAAATCTATGACAAAGTGTAAAAGATTTTGTGTGAGGCATTTTTTACTTTTAGAACTTCATTAGACTAAAGTGATTTTTACGTTGATGTAACTAAACATGCTCATAAAGGATAGGCAATGCTGAAAATTTTTTTTACATTTGTTTTTAACAATTTTGTTATTAAATATTGCACATTCTGATAACAGATCTGCCAAGAAAGGGGAAATGTTCTAAGGACTTTGACAGAAATTTACTGTGAATGATTTAGCAATTAAAGCACTTTTGTTTTAGTAAATTGCTTTTTCTCTTAATTAGATTAGCATTAAAAAAACAAACAAAAAATCTCAAAATTAATGTCAAACTTATTACAGTGAGCATCGAGTGTGGCATTTTGCAAAAGATCCCTTTTGTGTTCATACAATCTTTTATTTAAATTCCTTGAGTTTTCTTCTATGTATTCCTTGTTGCAATTATTAAAAGGTAATAAAAAAAAATGAAATTTAAATTCTCAGCAACCTCTCTCTCCTTTGTGCGCTTGTGTAATTGCATCAATGTAAATATCATTTTCGTCTGATGAAGCCATCGATTTCCCCGAAATTGTTCTTGATATATAAAAATTTATATAGTTTATATATAAGCAAATATATGGATATAGATCCGACAGTATGAAGAAAAATATACAGAAAAAACAAGCAAAAATCTTAATATGCAATTATGCTGTATTAATGTTAATATAAAGTCAACGTCGGACGTTTCGGTCTATTCTAGACCATCTTCAGGACATTTTCATTTAAACATAATTAACATCATCTTTTCGTGTTGAATTTTTATATGTTCTAATGTTAATTATGTTTAAATGAAAATGTCTTGAAGATGGTCTAAAATAGACCGAAACGTCCGACGTTGACTTTATATTAACATTAATACAGCATAATTGCATATTAAGATTTTTGTTTGTTTTTTCTGTATATTTTTTTTCATAGTTTATATATGTACAAGTGTGTGTAAAAATTCAGATATAATGAAATGTACACCATGACAATTATAAAAAAGAGAAGACACGATGCATTTTGTTCCTTGAGGAAAACATCTAACATTATTTTTTTATAAACATTACTTTTTTCTGCATGTATAAATACAGGTTTCTAAATATAATTCCTTGATGAGGTTCCTCAAGAGATGAAATACATTAGTATAAAAAGTTTTCATCTTGTCTTTTCGTGTGTGTGTGTGTGTGTGTAGCAGATAAATATTACAAGAAAAGTCAGGTAATATATATTTTCTTAAAACAAATCTCACCATAGCAAACAAATTGGAGAAACCCTGTACTTGACTGGGTATCTTGGAAAACTTTTGGTTGAAAGCATCGGAGATGTTGTGTGCTGGGTCAGTGGAGATGATCAACACTGTTTCACGGACTTTGGCCAGTTCGATGGCAAGGCAGCAACTATAAAATAAACAAAAGAGCAAAGACAGGCATCAACAGCAAAATCAAAAATAACATCCTAACAGAAATTATTACTCATTTACAATTGTGGAAATTGTCTTTAAGTATAATTCTAGCACTGCGACATCTGCATGTCAGTTGTTATCTTTTAGCCATTATTGATTGATTTGTTTGCTACAGGTTATAAAAAAGCAGGTTATTTAAAGCCAGAAAATAGTTTGGGATTGTATGAATGTTTTCTGGAAGATAATGGCTTAGTGATACAAGTTTTACTAATTAACCCATAGCTGGGGAAGGGGAGAAGTGATAGATTCATTTCTTTCTCAACACATAAATGAACATAAAAAACTCAACGGGAATTGGAACTTGATTAACAATTCAGAGTCATTATCCATTATATCACTCACACATCCAAACTTAGAGCACCTGGTATTCCCAAACCATCACCCATCTAAGAACTGAGCTTGACGTTACTTAACTTTGGTGAACTTACAGGAACTAATGTTTCAATGGGGTCTGGCTGTAATCCTTAGCCATAATTAAGTCTTAGAACAACAAATATCCAAGTAATCATATTGGCTTTCAGTGTTGAGGAAATTTGGGTAAGAACACAATTTTACAAATATTTCTTCTTATAAGTAATGTTATGATATATTTGAATATTTTATTACTGTGAAGTGGAAAATATTTCATATCATTTAACTTATAGTACCTTTCTCAAAACAGCAAAAATTTATAAGAATTATAAACTTTTCAAAGATAATGTTACATTTGCTCTTATGAATACAAAATTCTGAGGGTGGTTAGTTTGAGAAGTATCATCTATTTCAGTTTTAAAATGCCATATCCCTTTAGGATGTAAGCGATCATGATTCTCCACAGTTTACGGTTTTTTTTTTTGTTATCTGTGTATCACCATGCCTGCTTGGGAAAGATAATGAAGTAGTTTCTTGTTGTCTTCTCCACTTTTTGAAATTGAGTTTTCCTTCTCTTAGACTAGCTATGGTTTGATGGCAACATCGATAAAGTACACCATTTTTTAGACTGACAGTATCAAACAATGGAAGATGAGCAAGGTAATCATCAAAAATTCAATTACAATAAATTAAATAAAAGAATATTGGTTGCTGAATTATTTCTAAATTATTATTATTATGAGAGAAATGTTTGTAAGACAGAGATTTGGCTAGAAAGAAATAAGGGAAGATAAAAGTGTTTAATATCTCCTGCCAATACCTCATAAATAATGGACTATTCCATTTTGATTGTGTGGAAAGAGGAGAAAAGACACTACTTGGTTTCAGTGAGAAAATGAAAGAAAGAATAAAGAGAAGATAGAAGTGTTTAATGGCTGTTTCCATGAAAAGTTTGTCAATTTCAAATCTTTTCATTTCTACCCACTTCTTAAAATAATGACCAGCATTCATATTTTTATTTGTTAAGTTCAAATATTTTACAATACGATAGGGGAACTTCTACTGATATTTTACTATCATAGAATTGGCGATGAGCTTATTCAATCAATTAAGAATTAAGATGCATCAGAAAATTTCAATAGGAAAACTATGAAATTTTCATGGATCTTTCTAGTTAATATTAAAGTCAGTACAGTGGAGTAATGGATAGCAGCTTGGATTGAGGAATTGGAGAGCCGAGTTCGAATTACAGTTGAAACCATTACCTTCACTCATGTGCAAATACCCCTGGGAAAGGTATGAATCCTCTTCTCCCTCCAGTTATGGGTAAATAGTAGGACAGACTGGGTTCTATAGCCTTGGATGGCAAATGGTCTACCGCAAAAAGAAATGGCAACCTACTGCAGGAAAAAAAAATCTGCCTTGTCAGCCATGTATCAAAAGATACATGATTGCCTAAACATGTATCACGCATGACACATAACTGACAGAGTTAACATTAACAAAATACCAAATCATATAGCAATTTATTTAATAAGTTTTATTCACATCATGATAGGTCATACAAGCAGCTAGTTCTATAATAATACATGGTGTGACAAATACCTTCTGCATAATACTAAGACATTAGCTAGATGAAAACAACATTGCCACTAATGTCCTAACCATTATGTGGGAGGTATATGTGGGAGATATTTCTGCCAGGGCCTGTACAAATCAGATAAATATTCTAAAATATATTCAGTAATTTTGAAAACACTTTGCAGGCTCTCCAATCTACTTTTGAAATTGTATCACGTTTGTCCAGCAGACAAAAAAGTGTCCTTCCATTAGTCTCTGTCAATGTTTTACTTTTAAGCAGGCCATCTGTTGCATGTAGACATCATCAAGAGAAACAAACTAAAGCTATAAATAGAAGTAGTTAAGATAAACAGCTGGAAATTAATGAAAAACGGTTTCAATGTAGCTTTCTGAGGGGATGTGAAAAAGTGTCAATTGTTAGTGGCATGGAAAACAGAGTTTTGGATTTTGGTAGGGACTGCTTGAATTTATTTACTTCTGGAAGATATTAATCCATTCCATGACACCAGATAATTTTTGAAAAGAAAAAAGTCCTATTGAAGGTATAACATAGGGTTTAATAAAGAATAGAGTAGGCGAGTGAACAAATCACTCTCCCATAAGTAACTTATCATTCAGGCAGTAGAAACAGAAAAAAAGCTGTTATAGCCATTAATAACCTCTAAATGGTAATGGTGAGATTAGCCATTTTCATAAATAGAAACATCCGGCATTCAGTAACCGAACATTCCAAAAGGAAAAAAAAAAGAAGTTTTCTTGATTATATCATTATTTCCTTGAAAACTATAGCTACATTATAGTGGTGGGAAAAGGGACTGAAGCTGACACAGCTGTTTAAAACCCTTGTTTTTGTCCTATAGAAAAATCCAAGATGGTGCTTGAACGAAATATTCGGCAAAAAATCCCATTCGTCAGTAACATTTTAAATCCCTCATAGAATGTAAAGTTCTCAAAGCAAACCTGTACCAAACTATTTTCCTGAATCCTTGATAACTTGGCTGTCCAAGTTACATCAAGATGAAATAATGGAAACTGACCATGGAAAACAGTTATATGCAACAAGTTTTCAATCAATCAGTTAACTTCTGGATGTTTTTGGGCCATGTTATAGGTCAAGACGGCTATCGTTTGCACATGGAATTATTCACTGGTAATTAATCTTCGATTTGGCTGTGAAAAATGTCACTCTGGAGTTAGCATTAAAAGATTATGGCCAATTTTCTGAGAAAAATCACTTTTTTTATGAAAAAATAATTTTTTTTCACTTCAATCCTTTCTCTTTAAGTTGGTGTGAACATCATTAAATAAAAATAAACGCTATATGACCCAATATAGATTAAATAAAGTATTCAGTTTAGAATCCCCTGTAGGTTACCCAGTTCACTATACAACCAAGGAAGGCTGAAGAGCATAAAGGCTGAAAAGTTGTGATAGCAACAAAGATGAGGACAATAGTCCAAATAATAACAACTTATCCTAGGATTTCAAACTGAAAAATATTCATTTTAATCTAAGGAGATTAATTAAATAAAAAAACAAAACAAAAAAAAAAAAAACACCAGTAAACTTTTTTTTTTTTTTTTTAATAAACTTAATGGTAATATTTGCTGCTTCCTTATATGGAAGTCCTGAGTATGACGATAAATTACATCCAGCAGCAAGGCCCTGATTGTGAGATTGGAGGTTTTGAGGCATATTGAACCACCTCTTAATTGCTGTTGTTCCTAGGTCTACCTTGACCTGGGGTAGTAGCACTTGTTAGGGTACCAGATATGGGCAAATAGAGACCCCCAAAAAAAAACAACAACAACAAAAAAAAAAAAACGAAACCCCATGAAAGTATAAAAAAAAATATTTTTATAGCTAAAATATCAGCAAAACATTTTCATGTTAAAAAATTACCAGCAATACATTTTATACCAAAATTACCAACAACACATTTTATCTGTAGTTGAGGCCATAAAATTGTGTTCAAAATATTTAGATTTTGCCATTAAATAATCCATAGTGGGTGCTATGCCTCTTAACAAAATCAACTAGTTATTTACGGAAACATTTAGCATTCAATGACCGAGCAAGCAGTTGAAATTGATAAAATCTTTCTATTAAAAGAACAGGAAAACTGGTTTAAATAACTGTTTTTGCTTTTTCCAGCATTGGTGGAGGTTTTCTTCCTAACCTTTTGATTGAAGTAATGTAGAAAGTCAACATCTTGATTATGTCATTGTTTTCTCTTTGAGTTAAACTTGATATACATTTTAGTTGCTGCTGCTTTTGAAAGATCACCAAGAAGTTGTTTTTAACACTTTCCTATAGTGTTACAATTATATACTGAAAGTCTAACATCTATCTGAGAAAAGACCATAAAATTTAGGAATTTATCATGAAAGTTAAAAATGTTTTTGAATGTTCAAGTTCTTCTAGTCAAAGCTATTGGTAGGATAATTTTGAATTCAAAACCAGTTGGGCATGAGGCTAATAACTCTATCCTGTAAAAACTTAGTCGCTATAGAAACCATGGCAACAATGTCTAGTGCAGTAAGGCTGTGTCCCTATATTCCTAAGTGGAGTCTAAAGGGCTTATATACATAAGCAGGATACAATTTATTGACTGAATTAGATTGTAACAGAGAATAAAATTTTATTTTGTCAGTGTAGCAGAGGTCTTTGAGAGATGATTACATTTTTTTTTTAATTTCTAATGATGCCAACATATGACTTTAATTCCTCAGTGCTAGGTTTTTTCTTTTGAAAGATAAAATATTTCTTCAGATCTGTTATATCCAATATCAGTTCTTCATTCCCTTGTCACAGAAGAGTCATGGTGCAAGCTTATTCTGTGGGGTGGGGAGTGAAATAAAACATTCTCCCAGCTTTCTGGAGCCTTTGGCTTTGATGTTTGCATGCAGCAATTTCATTTAAATTCGCTGTCATATACTCATGTAGGAATCTTGAACTTAACCCCAACCCTGCTGATTAATGGCATTTATTTTAAATCCAATA